CTGCTTATGCACAGGGAGACAGCTCAGGGGGCAGGAGTGTATGGAGGGATGGACACTGGGAAGAGGTAACTGTGGGAAGGAAGTGGGAGGAGAGCTGTTGCACTGTGGTAAACTGTGGTCAGTGACATGAGACAAAGTATATGTGAACTGCTGTATAGAAAGTGAATTTGCTCTGTTAAATCTTCACCCAAATCACAATTGAAAAAAACAAAAAAAGATTGATAGCCTTGGAAACCCAATGAGGGTTGCTGTGAGTCAGAGCTGACTCGATGGTAGTGGATTTTTTTTTTAATTTGAGTAGCATTTCACACCAAAAAAATTAACAGTAATTCCTTAATAGCATATCTACTCAGTGTTCAGAATTTCCCAATTGTCTCATGAGTGTCTTTTTTATAAAATGATTTAAACAAGGCTCATAAATTGTTTTTGTTTGAAATGTCTTTTAAGTCTCTTTTAATCTAAACAATTCCCCCTTCCTTCTTTTATTTTCAAACCATCTATTTTTTGCAGAAAGTTTGTTCTGTAGAACTTCTTCCATTCTGGTTTGGCTAATCGTGTCCCTTTGTTGTTATTTAACATGTTCCTCTGTCTTCTAACTGGTAGTTATCTCTAGAGCAGGCGGCAGGAAACTTTTTCTGCAAAATATGAGATGGTAAATATTTTAGATTTTGTGAGCTATATAATCTCTGTCATGGCTAGTGAACTCTGCACAAAAAGCACCCATAGATAATACTGCAATAAATGAGTATGGCTGTGTGCCAATCAAACTTTATTTACAAAAACAGGTGGCCCCTTATCCAGAGGCTTGAATATATTCAGATTTAATTTTTAAAAAAAATTTATTGTAATTTGGGTGAAATTTTACAAAGCAGGTTCATTTTACATTCAACAGTTCGTGGACATTTTGTTTTGTGACATTGATTACATTCCCCACAGTGTAACAGCTCTTCTTTTGCTTCCTCCCTGTGGTTACCCTATCCTCTGTATCCTTCTTGCCTCCCTACCTTTCTCCCTGTGCAAATGCTGCCTTTTCTGATCTCCCTTGGTTGATTGTTCTAAGGAGTACATCTCCTTGGTACTGAGGGATGAAGGGTCATGATGTCTGTTACTTATTCTCAAATGGTTCTGTAATAATAGTAATGTGTATGTGTGCGTGTGTGTGTTAGAGAAAAGGCAAGTGTGGCAAAATGTCAGCAATTAAAGGGTGGATAGGTATTCATAGGAGCTCTAGGTAGCATAGTGGCTAAGGCACTTGACTGCTAACCAGAAGGCTGGCGGTTCAAACCCACCAGCCACTCCTCGGAAGGAAGATGGGGCAATCTACTTCCATAGTGATACTGCCTCGGAAACCCAAGGAGGGGTTGCTATGACGACTCGATGGCACATAACAACAACAACAACATAGGTATTCATTGTATAATTTTTGTGACATTTCTATAAAATTTTTCATGATAAAACATTGAAAAAAAATTGATCAGTGGGTTCAAATACTGTAACCTGTCCATCTATTAAGGCACTCTGGTGGTGTAGTGGGGTAAGGCATTTGGCTGCTAACCAGGATGTCAGTGGTTCAAACCCACCAGCTGCTTTGTGTGAGGAAGATAAGGCAATCTACTTCCATAAAGATTTACAGCCTTGGAAACCCAGTAGGGTCACTATGAGTCTGCATCAACTTGATAGCAGTAGGTTTGGTATTTGGTTTGGTCCACCTATTATAAACATGTTTATTAACCTTTCTCCTAATGATTTTGCCTAGATTCATTATTTCATTGGGGGTTGCAAAATGATGACATAAGAATTCTGCCTTTGTTAGGTGATGTTCTTCTTAAAAAAGAAAAGAAAGAAAGAAAGAATTATCCCTCATCATTTATTTGATTAGCCTGAAATACAGTTTGTACAAGAAATGCAAGATAAACACTTGATTCTTTCCCTTTAAATTACCAGTGTTCAGAGTAATGAGTTGATGTCCCCACAATTTATCGTGAGTTTTGTAATTTTTTTTTATTTGTTTGTTTAGTTCTTAAGAACTCAGAGATTTAGAAATATTGGATGTATTCCAATTTGTTAAAGTTATTGTTGTTCAAATTGTCCCATCTATGCACAGTGGGAGCCCCATCACCGAATTTTAAATTACTATACAGAATTCTCATCTATTTTAGTATTTCATCTTTTGAAATTAATGAAATGTTTTTCTGGAATTATTTGATTAAAAATAATGCTTTAAGGCTAACTTTCATAAATCAGAGAGAAAGGGATTAAGGAAGGCTCATGTGGTTTTTTGTTGAATTCTAAAAACAGCCTATACAGTTAAGTTTGCCAGAATCATTGTCATAAACCAAATATTACTTGAATTGAGTGGTACATGATTGAGTTATTGAAGTTTATTTATGAATCTGGGGTCTAAAATACCACCTAGAGAATCTCAAATTGGGTGTCCCATTGTCATATCTGAATATAAATCATGTTTTTGTGACCAGTTACTTGGGGTCTGAACTCATAACTTCAGGAAGTCTTCACTTAAGAGTTTTCGTTCTTTGTTGTTGTTTTCACTCCTAACATTTTTTTGTACATAGCGGTGCATTTTAAAGTCAGTTTACTGATTGGAATAAGTGATGGCCATGGTTTCTAAGTTTTAAAAAAATTCATTCTGATTCAGTTTATCTTGAGATGGTTAAGAAAAGTAGACAATAGATTTCTCAAAAATTTAAGAATATCAAATTTTTTCTTTGGGCATAAGGGAAAAGAAACAGGCCATTGAAAGCAAATTAATCATTAATACTTAGTGTAACGTACCATGCCCCCAAATTTTTGGCCTTGGGTGAATCGTTTTTGGTATATATTAATACAAATACAGTATTCTGAAAATCCTATGTAAAAGCTTGGTATCAGTGTTGTACCATTAACACATTTATTTTACTTTAGGACCGTCCAGCGATGCAGCTTTACCAACCAGGAGCTCGAAGCCGAAATCGCCTCTGTCCCGCTGATGACAGCACCAAGTCTGCAGATCCAACAGTAGAAAAAAAGCAGGAAAGTGCTATTAGCCATAGAAAAGAAGGGGGAGAGGAGTGATAAATCCTAACGGCCTTAGGTGTCCTGACTGTCTAGGCAGCCAAAGAGCACAAATTAAGCAATCCGGAAGTGCCTTCAGGGCAAAGGAATAGAGAGGAAGGGGGTCGCTGTGCTGGTGGGGTACATTAAAGAGGAGTATGTTTTGCGTCAGAGCAGGAGTCAGATTGCAGGTTCAGAATTTGAAGTACGATTTCATTGTTTATGCTGTTTCTACAAATTCAAAGTCTCAGAAAAGGTGAAGGTGACATGCATTGCACTTTGCAGGCTAGAAATGTCAAGTAATGTTAAGTATGTATGACACGAGAGCAAATGAGACCTGGATCAAAAGGTTCTGTTAATCCTGAATTGAATTTTCTTAATTTGAGTGGAGCAGAGTCAGTTTGAAGTCTTGTTCAGATTTAGTTATGTTGTATTGTTGGTAATAAATGTTGAATTTGTGTAGTATAGAAGCGAACAAGCATGTAATTGTAGTACAAGTATAGTGATGGAGATAACAAAAATTTGCTAATGCTTAAAATTAAATAATTGTGTTTTGTCTATATTCTGTGTCCTAAAATGTTAGAATTAGTTGGAGTGCTTTGATTGTTTATGTGGGCTTAGCATAAAGAACATTTTTAAACATCTCAATTTTTCTTTAGCATTTTTTAACATTAATAAGTAAAATCTAGCCCTTGTTTGATTCTTGACAATCCAGTCTTTGTTTTATCTTAGGTGTCATGATCCGAGTGAATACCCTCTCCAAGAAGGAAATGTCACCAATATTTGTTCCTGCTAAATAGCAACTTTTCTTTTGTTTTGTATTGGTGTCAATAAATACCAATGGCACTGAAATATGAAGTAAAGTGTGTTTATTAACTTTACTAAATATCTATTAGTTTGAGAAATATAATGTTTCCCTTCGCTTGCATTATGCCTTTATTTGTCTACCAAAGAGAGAATCTACAAAAAGGATGTGGAGGTCCCATCTGACTTCTAACTTCACAAGGGGGAAGGAAGATCCAGAACAACAGCAACAGCCCAAGGTTAGTTCCTGTGAGGCAAAGGTCAGACATGCCACCAACCTTTTTACCAATTCTGACACCAGCTCTCCCTCCCATGGTACTCTCTGCTCCTTTGCTGGGTTCAGTAATTGATAATTTGTTGTGATGGCCACACACAACTCACAGACAATACTTAAGATTGTGGGGTTTACCCTTTGCATATACAGTACTGAGTTGTCAGTGAAAGCAAACATGGGTATAGGGATGGATAGATGGGTGAACAAGCTAAACAATTAGGTATGTCTAAATGGAGAGT